TATTTCGAGGACCTACGGTGCGATTCGTGTGATTTTATGATGCGCGGTGCTAAAATTCTTAAGACGCCCAATGGTTTTTGAGATTTCGGCGTGCGCGCGCGAAGAAAAAACGAATGTGTCCCGCATGGTATTATTTGACAGGGATGATGGCCCTGGCAGGTGCGCAACCGTTGTCGCAGAAGTTCGAAAAAGTTGCTCGCAAAAGCCCGTTTGACAGAAATGTTGAAAAAGTGTTGGTTTTCCTACGAATCCGCAAGAGCGCGCGGGATGAGATTTTGACATTTTTTTGTTGAAAAACCATTGGTTTTTTGATGTTTTATGTTGAAATCGCTCCGAACACTAAGCTTTTGGGAGGATTTCGTCTTGCGCGCGCGAATGTCCACTTTACCTTATTTTTTGCAAAAAGGATTCTTGAAATTTGATTATATTAGAACAAGAAATGTCATTTTATAGTGTTTTTTGCAAGGGAAAGCGGGGGGGAACAAAACAACCGGATCTTGATCACATCGAATTACCTGAGGCTTCCTCACGAAAATGATGAAAATGTAGCTGCGGCCTAGGCGGCGCAGGGGGGCCGTGCACCAGGGGTCCCAACAATAATTATTCTTTAGAATTAATAATGTTCAACAACAACAATCATTTAAGACTGGGGACACTCCGTTCTCACCAGTGCCAGGGTTTTCATAGGAGGCGGGCAATACCCCCACTTTGTGGGGGGGCCGGTTCAAGCTCTACCAAATTTCCAAACGACTCTTCGCCACCCCCCACACCCAGCTTCCCGCCCTATGACGTTCGGACACTTCACTTCGTGGCATGCGGACGACCGTGGCTACTATTCAGGGCCCCGCGGCCGACGACGACGGCGTGCGCGCGCGAAGAAAAAACGAATGTGTCCAATATGATATATTTGACAGGGATGATGGCCCTGGCATGCGCGCAACCGTTGTTGCAGAAGTTCGAAGCACGTGAAAAAGTTGCTCGCAAGAGCCCGTGTGACAGAAATGTTGAAAAAATAGTGGGTTTCCTCAGAAATCCGCAAGAGCGCGCAAGATGAATGTTTGAAACTTTTTGTTTGAAAAACCATTGGGTTTTTCATGTTTTTATGTTAAAATCGCTACGAAAACTAAGGTTTTGGAAGGATTTCATCTTGCGCGCGCGAGTGTGCACTTCGTATCATTTTTTGCAAAGGATTCTTGAAGTTTGGTTATGTTAGAACAAGAGATTTCATTTTATAGTGTTTTTTGCAAGGGAAAGCGGGCGTCAACAAAACAACCGGATCTGGAATACCCCGTTTTGCCTGAGACTTCCTCACGAAAATGATGAAAATGTGGCTGCGGCCTAGGCGCGGCGGGGGGGTCGTGCACCAGGGGCCCCAACAATAATTATTCTTTAGAAGTAATAATGTTCAACAACAACAACAACAGCAGCAGCAGCAACAACAACAACAACAATTATCTTAAGACTGTTCGCTCCTATCTGCTCACGTGCCAATCAATACGTATATCCCAAACCCTCGGTACCCGTCCTCGTCGTCTTCGATCGTACCCCCTTGGGGGTACATCTTCCTTACCTGCCACGCGCATGTACTGCAGTTCCTCAAACAAGGGATGAGAGGACGGGTGTAAGGGGAGGAAGGAGAATGGAGCACGAGAGCAATTAGCAGGAGGGGGGCAAGGTGCATAAAACAAGTGGTAGAACTAGACGGGCATATTGGGTGGGCAGACCCATAGCGGGCAGGTCGGGAAGGCAGGCCCGGGCAACGAGGTCGAGCAGGCGGGTTGCTGAAGCATGGGTCCTGCGTGAATCGCGAGGAAGTCTCGGGCGATAGCGCGATTCCCAAGTAAATCGTGAGAAAAGCAAGCGTGGGCCACGAAGGACGTAAAATCCGAGGCCACAGAGGGCAGCGACGGGACCGCTGAGGGCAGCACCGGGGCCACGAAGGGCAGCGAGGGGGGACACAAAGGGCGACAGCGGGGCCACGAAGGGCATGCACATGGGGCCACGGCGGGCGCCAGCGAGCGGGGGCCACAAAGGGCACTCGCATACGGGGCCACACAGGGCGACAGCGGGGCCACTGAGGGCAGCAAAGGGGCCACGAAGAGCAGCGAGGGGCAGCGAGCCACGAAGGGCGACAGCCGGGTTACGAAGGGCATGCGTATAGGGCCACGACGGGCGCGTGCGAGCGGGGGCTACGAAGGGCGTATAATGCGGGGCCACAGAAGGCAGCGACGGGGCCACCGAGGGCAGCAACGGGGCCACGAAGGGCAGCGAGCGGCGACTGCAGTCCCTAACGGGCTGGTCGGGCGGGCAGGCCCAAACTGGCGGGTCGAGCGGGCGGGTCGTTGAAGCGGAAATTCTGTTTGAACCGCCCAGCAATATGTAGCGGGAGCGCGATTCCTGAGTGTCGAGGAACGGCATTTGAATAAATTGCGAAGAAATATCAAGCTGGAGCCGCGATCCGGTGGTAAGTTACGAGGAAGTCCCAAGCGAGAGCGCGATTCGTTAATACATTGTGAGGAAATATCAAGCGGGAGCCGCGATTCGGTGGTAAATTGGATGGAAGTCCCAGGCGAGAGCATGATTTTTCAATAAATTGTGAAGACGTATCACGCGGGAGCCGCTGTTGTTGTAAACCGGGGGCCAACGACACAGTTTGACCCTCAAGACTTCCCCTAATAAAATGATCCCGGCAAAGAAACCTAACAGCGATGTGTAGGAGCATATCTGCAGGCATTCCCCTTGAGATTCAGATGAGAATCCACTTGTAGAATTCTGCTGTTCTCGCAGTCGTAGTCGCACTCGCGATGACAGTCGTAGTGGCAACGGCGGTCGCAGTCACAGCCTCAGCCTCAGCCTGCCTCAGCCGCAGCCTGCCTCAGCCTCAGCCTCAGCCTGCTTCAGCCTCAACATCAGTCTGCCTTCAGCCTCGGCCTCAGCCTCAGCCTGCCTCAGCCTCACCCTGCATCAGCCTCAGCCTCAGCCTCAGCCTGCCTCAGCATCAGCCTGCCTCAGCCTCAGCCTCAGCCTCAGCCTCAGCCTCAGCCTTCAGCCTCAGCTCAGTCTGCCTTCAGCCTCGGCCTCAGCCTCAGCCTGCCTCAGCCTCAGCCTGCCTCAGCCTCAGCCTCAGCCTGCAGCCTCAGCCTCAGTCCTCAGCCTCGCCTCGCCTCAGCCTGCCTCAGCCTCAGCTTGCATCAGCCTCAGCCTCAGCCTCAGCCTCCTCAGCATCAGCCTGCCTCAGCCTCAGCCTCAGCCTGCCTCAGCCTCAGCCTCAGCCTGCAGCCTCAGCCTCAGCCTCAGCTCTGCAGCCTCAGCACAGTCTGCCTTCAGCCTCGGCCTCAGCCTCAGCCTGCCTCAGCCTCAGCCTGCATCAGCCTCAGCCTCAGCCTCAGCCTGCCTCAGCATCAGCCTGCCTCAGCCTCAGCCTCAGCCTGCCTCAGCCTCAGCCTCAGCTCTGCTTCAGCCTCAGCCTCAGTCTGCCTTCAGCCTCGGCCTCAGCCTCAGCCTGCCTCAGCCTCAGCCTGCATCAGCCTCAGCCTCAGCCTCAGCCTGCCTCAGCATCAGCCTGCCTCAGCCTCAGCCTCAGCCTGCCTCAGCCTCAGCCTCAGCCTGCTTCAGCCTCAGCCTCAGTCTGCCTTCAGCCTCGGCCTCAGCCTCAGCCTGCCTCAGCCTCAGCCTGCATCAGCCTCAGCCTCAGCCTCAGCCAGCCTCAGCATCAGCCTGCCTCAGCCTCAGCCTCAGCCTGCCTCAGCCTCAGCCTCAGCCTGCTTCAGCCTCAGCCTCAGTCTGCCTTCAGCCTCGGCCTCAGCCTCAGCCTGCCTCAGCCTCAGCCTGCATCAGCCTCAGCCTCAGCCTCAGCCTGCCTCAGCATCAGCCTGCCTCAGCCTCAGCCTCAGCCTGCCTCAGCCTCAGCCTCAGCCTGCTTCAGCCTCAGCCTCAGTCTGCCTTCAGCCTCGGCCTCAGCCTCAGCCTGCCTCAGCCTCAGCCTGCATCAGCCTCAGCCTCAGCCTCAGCCTGCCTCAGCATCAGCCTGCCTCAGCCTCAGCCTCAGCCTGCCTCAGCCTCAGCCTCAGCCTCAGCTGCTTCAGCCTCAGCCTCAGTCTGCCTTCAGCCTCGGCCTCAGCCTCACCTGCCTCAGCCTCAGCCTGCATCAGCCTCAGCCTCAGCCTCAGCCTGCCTCAGCATCAGCCTGCAGCCTCAGCCTCAGCCTCAGCCTCAGCCTCAGCCTGCTTCAGCCTCAGCCTCAGTCTGCCTCAGCCTCGGCCTCAGCCTCAGCCTGCCTCAGCCTCAGCCTGCATCAGCCTCAGCCTCAGCCTCAGCCTGCCTCAGCATCAGCCTGCCTCAGCCTCAGCCTCAGCCTGCCTCAGCCTCAGCCTCAGCCTGCTTCAGCCTCAGCCTCAGTCTGCCTTCAGCCTCGGCCTCGGCCTCAGCCTCAGCCTCAGCTTGCCTCAGCCTCAGCATTCAACATGTGGCCCATGAATGGAGTTCTGGGAACTCGAACAGTTGGCTCCGGGCATTCAAAATCATGCCCAGGAATGGAGTTCTGGGAACTCGAAGACCACGAAGTGGCCTCCAGTTGGCTCCGGGCATTCACAATCATGCCCAGGAATGGAGTGCTGGGTACTCGAAGACCACGAAGTGGCCTACAGTTGGCTCCGGGCATTCAAAATCATGCCCAAGAATGGAGTTCTGGGAACTCGAGGAACACGAAGTGGCCTACAGTAGGCTCCGGGCATTCAAAATCATGCCCAGGAATTGAGTTCTGGGAACTCGAAGACCACGAAATGCGTTACTGTTGGCAAAAAAAGGAGTCCCT